CTGCGCTAGAATATGGTGACTGACTTAAATCATCTTCGGTAGCGCTAATGAGATTGACTGAAGACAAAGTGCTGTGTTTTGTTGCACAATGGATTACGAGTGCCTACACCATCGACTGCTGTATTCTACTGCAGAGGCTTGTGAACCCCTACTGAGGAATAATCAGAGTGGGAGGTGGAGATTAGTTAGTTCCCAGCAGCACACTTGCTTATCTGCTGCTATAAAGTTTTTGGTGTTGTAGCTTTGCAGAGAACTCTGTACTGAAAAATGGCAGAGAACATGCAAACTTGGTTGGGTTGTTGTATAATTTATAAGAGCTTAACTCTTCAATGGAAGAATTGTTATTGCTTGTAAATTGCTTCCAACTTTTGTACTCATCAGAAATATATATTGTACTGATGATCTTATGTTGTTACGGCAATCAGTATGACATTTTTTTCCACAGTATTCTGCACCTGCTGCCTGCCTCAGTGTCCCTGAAAACGTCTTTTCTTTTTCATATTAACTCAACAGAATTAATACAGTTCTTATTGTTTATACTTAGTTCTTTTTTGTGTGTGTTATCGCTTGCTGGGCCTTTAATATAAAAAATGTGGCCTTTAATATAAAAACTGACTGTTTCTACCCAGCTGGAGGTGTACGATTTGGTTTTTTCCCTTCTTAAGTGGGTTTCTTTCATCTCATTTTCTCCACAATTGTGTTTATCCTCCTTATTTCTTACATTATCATCAAATGTAACATGAGCTTGAAATCTTTAAAACAGGTGGGTTTTTTTTTTTTTTTTTTTTTTTTGGTGAGCGTTCTCCTGCTTTATTTCAAATACGCAGTTTGCTCCTTGTGTTTTGTCTAGCCTGTAGGATTTCTGAGCAAAGAACTTTGTGGCTTGCTATAGTCGAGACTTCTAGGCACTATTGCATATTTAGTGGTTAAGAGTAATAATAGTAAGATAAAATACATCAGCTGTCATCCCTAAAGCTATAATGTTACATGTAATTTGCATTGTAGATGGTTTTGCAAGTGAAAGGGGTGTGCCACAGGTTTAATATTTATACAGGACTCTACTACTCTTCTGTCTAAATTAAGAAGTCAGTAGCAAGCAAGGGGGAAGGGGTTACATTTCAGAAGTTCACTTTTTTGTTTGTTTGTTTTTTTTGTAGATGGTTACATGGCAGAGCTGAAGCAGGTGGCAGAAACGGCATCCAAACAGATCAGCGGCCTAATGAAGGTGAGATCTCTGTGTACTCCAAGGGGATTTTTTTTTTCCTTTCTTGATCTGATAATGTCATCAAACACAAGTTGCAACTCATCTTAGTTTATAATTTTATACGAAAAGGCCTGTGCATGTACTTTTGAAGCAAGAACTCCTTTAGGTTTGGACTACTGAAGATAAATCTATAAGGCGTTCCCTCCTCAGCCGGGAGTAAGGAAGATTGCCCTGTGGGCTATAGAAAATATTTTTAGAGAGATTTCAGAACCTGCGGCATTTGAAAAAGTAAAACATCTTCTGAAATGAACTGTACAACATCATGTAGCACATGACACTTATTACTTTGGTACCAGCTTAGACATGTACTGTAGTGTTCTGATATTTATTCAGCGTAAAGGTGAAATGGAGGAGCATTTAAACTTCTATACAGCGCTCTTCACGTGACCTGTGGCTGTAGACACTTGTCACCGTTTGACTGGTAACTTTGAGTTCTCTCAGTTCTCAGCCTTCACCCATCATCCTAAGGTACATCTCTGCAGATGCTGAAGCTTTTGTGCATGTCAGATTCTAATTAACACTTTTGGTTCATTGTAACCCTTACTTTTCCCGTGTAACTTGAGATGCTTGGGTTTGTTTTTGCAGTCGCTCCCAGCACTAATAGAAAGAGCGGAAGGTTTTTCCCAAGCATTAACTTGGCAGCCAACCTTGGAACTCTGCAAGCTGCGGCAAGAAGTCTTTGCTGGTTGTAAGGCAAAGGAGGAAAATAATATGCAAAACTTCATATCACCTGTAGAAGTCACACCAACAGACACTGATGCCAGTAAAAATAATTACATTTTCTTGAAAAGAAAGAGAGCTGCAGATTCACCACAAGCAAGACGTTATCCACTGCGCCGGAGGAAAATTACTCTCAGCACATGAATTTCTCATTTACTATTTTCAGATTTGAAACTCAGTTGTATGCTTGTTCAGTGTGTTCAGTATTTTTCTTAAACCTTCTTCTCCCCTCTCATTCAGTGATATCCATAAGAACTGTCTTAATTATTTAGTCTTTGATCTTTTTAAATATTTCTCTTCTTACTATTGCACTACTAGTATATGAAAGCCTAAACGTATCAGTAGCACCTATCCAGCAAGTATATTTACTGATTAACTCTCACTTCTTGCTCTTTTATTGCAGGACTCAGCGTGGGTCCTGATGCTTCAAAGAGTTCTGCACATGCTTCATGTATGTGGGCAGTCTTTTTGTAGCCCACTGACTGCTCATTTACATTAAGCATGTGTCTAAAGAGGTTGGAGAGTATCTAGTTCTCAGAATACGCCTTCATCTATACTCATTTGGGTGACTATTTTCTTTAGTAAGTGAATAAAAAAGAATTTCACGCTGGAGCATATTAAAAACACTATTTTAGTGTGCTGTTACAGTTTTAGAAAATCCACATGTAAGTGTAAAATTGGTCCCTGCTATTAGACCTTTCCTGAATTTAGGTCAGCTGGACTTATTTATAGTCATGTTTGTTTAAACTTGGAGTTTTTATAATTGTATATATTTACATACATACATATATGCTATTCTGAACAAGGGTGGGCCATACACATCTCATCAGATGTTTTCGTTTCATGTAATCCAAGTATGCCGTCTTGGGGGTTTCCTGGACAATATGCATTACAGGATATTGACTTGGTTCATGTATGCATTTGTGATATTTGACTAAACTTTTAAAATCAGTGTAGAGTAACAGTAAATAGTATTAAGTTGAGCTATCCTACCCTTTTTTTTTTTTACACATTTGTACCTAAACAATTGCACAGTAGTACTAAATTCAGCAGCATGCCTTAACCGTTCATAACTTTTTCTAGCTTATGATTGCATATGCTTGCAGTATATACTCATGTCTAATGTGTGTTTACTCAGACAGCAATTTGAGGTTTTTTGAGAAGCTTTTTTAATGAAATGTACTGAAGTAAGAAGGTGGTCCAACTTAATATTTACGAGACTGAAACTTTTCAAGAAAATGTGTGACAAATTTTACTATCATTAGATTTGAAAAGCTGAGCATCTGTACTGAGATTTTGTATATTTAATCACATGTAAATATTTGTTTCCGATCGCTTTTGTATATATGAACTTATGTTTTTATACAAAGCAAATTAAATCAATTAAGAAAGATCAAAGTTTCAGATCATATTGTCTGTTCTAATCCTGGCATAGGTGGTAACTGAACAGCTAGTGTACTAGCACTTCAGAAGACATCTGTGTTAAATTCAGGCTTGAGTAACTGAAGTAGTTCCTTTTAGTGCCTTTGAACTCGCAACTGTTATTAATCTCAGGGCTACAAAGGCTCCAATGTAAGAGAGGACAGGATGTGTGAGGGGCTGGAACTGCAGAGCTGTGGAACGTGGGACCGGGACTGTTTTTCACACAGTGGATTGCTGTTCTAGCTTCTTTGAGTATGAATGCTCCTTGCTGGATTGAAAATCATAACCATCACTTTCTTCGTTAAGATCCGCATATATTCTTCAATTTGAATGTTTCTATACTGAGCTGAGCACTGCACGATTTTATATGTCTATCATCGTGGTATTTGAGCATTTTCTGTGTTAATAGAAAGATAACCTGACATTCTCTCTGAATAATGATAGGCAGGTTCCAAAAAAGGGCTAGGATTTATAAGGAATAGGCATGTTTCTTTGAAGAGGTTCCATCTGAAAAGGCCAATATGAGACAAATGTCTTAAGAAATAAGGGAGAACACTGTGGATTTAAGACCTATAAGTGAATTAATAAATTTATCCTACAATGCATATTAACACTTAGCTAGGAGACTGCGGGACAGTCAGGCTGCATGGGATTTGAAAGAAGTGAGAACAGATGCCTGGTAGCCTGAGCTAGGGCAGTTGTGCCTTGTTCTGTGTCCCTCATTTCAATCACAGCTGGATGGAAAAAAAAAACATCTGGAAACATTGGCCAAATACATGGCATAAAGATAAAGAAAACAAATCGATGAAGATCGCAAGTGCAGCATTTAAACCAGGAGTTTACAAATCTCGGGGGGGGCCACTTTTGGCCAAGGGGCAATGGAAGGGATCAGAGGCCCTCTCTTTAAATGAAAGTCGGGTGATGAGCTAAGCTCAACCCTTCTTGTGGCTGACTGGCTGAGTATTCAGCTACTTTTCAAATATTTGTTAAAAATTTCTACATCAAGAGATACTTGCAACAAGCAATGTCTGGGAGATATTTTTCCCACTGTCAGAAATAAAATATAAAATATTTCACATTTTCCCATTCCGACAGCCTTGTGTCCTTCAGTTAACTTTTCATAGAAATCTGCGACGTTGTGCAAGACAAGCGTCTAATCGGGCTTCTACTGAAATGTCACAACGTTCAAACTTCTTATTTTTAACTTGAGGCGAATTGGTGTTGCATCAAGAAATGTCTGGTAGTTTTTCTTAATATAGCCTTTGACTTTTGTAAGACAACTCAATAGTGATGGATGCTTGGGAACGTTTGCAAGCAGGTTTTGAATTTCTTAGCTTTCTTTAGGTGAGATGGAACGTCTGCCTGTTTGCTGGTAAGTACTGTCAGCGCTGTGCTTGTCACTAGAGTGGTGAGCCGTCCCTACCCATAACAAATTTACAAATCGGAGCAGTATGCGCACACTCTTTTACTGCGTGTGGTTTTCTGAACAGAGGTTATTGCACGCAGCATGCAGGGGATCTCCTGTTCCAGAAATCTTCCCATGGACACCAACGGCAGTTTGAAAGTTTGGGCACGTGGTGTTCTGAAACCCAGTTCTGATATGGGACGTTCTTCAGAAAAGCCGTATTATGTTAAACTGCATTCAGCAACTCTAGTCTAAATGTGTGTAGGTTGCTTCATTGCAGACAAAAATCACTGATAAACTGCCATTATAAAATGTAAACTCAGCTGACTAGTGTGCTTTCTGGACTTGTTTTTTCTCTCCTGTATAGAAATGCTCTGCCCTTACTGCTGTGTTACTTGGAATTACTGTGTAGGCATTTCTTCAGATGTACCAGAGATAACTTTAATACTAAGCAGAAACTTGTTCCCATAAGCAAATTTTGACTTTTCATTTCCTTTGTCACTTTGAACAAGAGCGGACCACACTCTGGCTCAGGGGGACTTTTCTGTGGCTTGTCCTGTATTTGTGGGATCCTGCAAACCTCCTCACGCTACAGTATTTGGAAGGGTTTGGCTGTTGCCGGGAGTTACTCAGTAGGGTAGCTACACAGCACTAACAAGTCCTTCGTAAACTGGTCAGGACGTGGTTCAGTTAGATCATTTAGTTGTGCAGTTGCTGTTAATAGCAGTATTGCTTCTGAAAAAGCATGAAAGCTTCATGTGGAATCAGATCAAAGTCCGTCTGCGAGAAGGGGGCTTTTTTTTCCTCAGTTCATAGGTTTTCTTTGCAGCCTGTTCTCTGAGCTTATGCAGATACTGAGTTCTAGTCCTGTGCTTCACTCCAGATGTGCTTAAGCTATAAAGAAGACAAGGAACCTAGCGCTCTCTTCCTAAGCAACTGTCCCAGCTAATTGTCCACCCATGCCCGCATTTATTATTCCTTTAACTCTGTGATTAGTGGTTTAATGCAAAATTGGACTGTTTCAAAAGGAGAGGTTGAGAGCAATTCGCCCTATAATTGCTCACTGCCTAATGGGTGCGGCTAACCTCCAGGAGATGCTGGTTTGCTGCCCTTCAGCTGGGCAGCGGCACTGAACCCGTACCCTCTGCTTCCTTGGTGAGCCCTTGCGTCTGTATGTTGTATGAAGCGGAAAGGGAGAAGGAGCTGCAGGACTGCTTTTAAAGAAACCGGGGCTGGGAACATCCTGTGAGGTGCTGGGTTGACCCAGCACAGTCTGAGGACACAGACTGGGTTGCAACACTTTGGCAAGAAAGCCGAAGGAGCCCGTGTGGTTTGTGGGTCCAGGGGTCATGTGGGTGGGGAAGGCTCATAGGCACTCAGTCCTTGGGGGTTGAGAAGCTCTGAGAAAGTGCCAAAGCGAAGCTGTAGGTGGCCTGGAAAATGGAGACTCAAGCTGCTGCGAGGCAGAACAGCTGGGGAGAAGGGCTTCCCGGTGGGGAAGTCCCATTCAGGTCTTTCAGTAATACTGATCTAGCTGATGGTCCCAGAGTCAACCAGGAAACCTGCGGTAGAGCAGAGACTTTACTTTGACTCTCGGACTCCCAGGCAGTGTGGTTCTCACGTTCAGCACGAACTGTTGGCCAGATCTTCCTAAAAGAATAGTCTATATTAACGCAGTTGGCAAACTTTGTAACCTGATGTTTATCTAAGTTGTATGACTCAAACTTCTGGGGAAAGCAGAAAAATAGGGAAGTATCCAACTTATTAATTTAAGATACCTGGGGCTTTGTGACTGACTGCACTGCAGTTTTGGGGCACTTTCCCTCGTGTGGACGTGCTTTTGCATGAGAATTGAGGAGCGCAGGTTAGGTATACAAATATATCCACAGCGCCGAAAGGATGTTGCTACGCATCTATCTGCAAACATGCATTCAGAGCTTCAGAGCTGAGGGAGAAGATGCAGTTCAATTGAAGTGTAGGAAAAGTGTTTGGAAGGATAAAAGAAACATTACTTGGAAGGAAGGATAAAGTTGGAAGGTTTGGAAGGATCAAAGAAGCATACTGTTGTTGAAACGCTACCGAACAGGGAGAGCTGTGTGTGAAGCGCCTGTGTGTTCAGC